ATTTTTAGTATAGTCTTCTTAATAACCTTGATTTTTCTATATTATTACTTTGTTGTGTGCCTTTAATTTTTAATTGAATTATTGTTTTCCTCAATTAAATGGTTTTTAAATTTAAGATTTATTATTTTTTGTCTACTTAAGCTAACCAGAATGCTAATGGATATATTTAGAATTTAGTTGAATATAATGGGATATTCTACCATCTAACAGTGGTTTAATTTTATATTTATCTGGGAGTGCTGAACTTTCTAGGCCACTGGATCTAGCCAATCACAACTATCCGATAGGGGGTAATTGTAAAGAGGTTATTTTTTTAACCATATCTTAGTGAATAATTGTGCTGATGTTTGCTCTCAGCCAATGGGAAGTGGCCAAGCTACATGGGGCGAGAGAAGAAGGCACTACAACATGTGTCACATGCAATGTGTTGACTATGACTGCACCTGTTGCCTATTTGTGAGACACAAATCCCTAAGCCCTAAAGTGGAATTGAAAGGGTGTCAAATGGTAGTGGCCGAAGCAAAAGCCAAACGAGTATAACACATTTAGATTAAAAGCTCCAACTTAAAAAGTTGAGAGTGGGAGTGAAACTTAATGAAATGCTTAAAGAATAAACACAAAGCAAGCAATAAGTGAGTCTTTAGAAAAAGGACATAAGAGGACCAACACATGACATATGGAAGTGTTGAGATGGAGTCTAAGATGGAATCTAAGATGGATCTAAGATAGAGTCTGAGATGGAGTCTAAGATGGACCTGAGATGGAGTCCAAGATGGACATGAGATGGAGTCCGAGATGGACCTGAGATGGAGTCTAAGATGGAGTCCGAGATGGACTTGAGATGAAGTCCGAGATGGACCCAGGATGGAGTCCGAGATGGAACCAAGACTAAAACCGAGTCCGAATTTGAGTCAAAGCTGAGTCCAAGTCCGAGTCCAAATCTGAGTCCGAATACTAATACAGGCTATTGGGTGAAAACCCAAAGTAATCATCCCCTAGGGGCTATAGGGGGTTCCCAAAGTATAGTAGGAAGAATATGGAATGTTAATGTGACCTATGCCCATGTGTTGGATGATGATATATCCACTAAGGAGTCCAAAGCTAGAGTGAATATGGATTAACAAATGGGGTAGCTTGGTGAAATGTTCAAGAGGCGGCTTTAGTTCCTCTAGAAGATCGAATAATCAATGCTCTTAGTTCAAATGTGGGTGGCACTACTTACTTGGATGCATAGCGTGGCTCAACGGAACCTCACTTTAGCCCCATAGCTAGAGCATCCAAAGGTGAAAAGTGGGGAGAGTACCTATAAGGTTTGTGTAGAGCCATGGTGTTCCAAAATGTTATTCCAAAAGTCTTGAAAAGAAAAGAAAACTATGGAAAGGAAGAAAAGTAGTCCTCTGGTGTAATGGCCAAAGATATGTTCATATAGTGAAGAAGTCCTAGAGGACAATGGGACTTAGTAGTCGAACTTGTAAACCTTGATTTAGTGGCAATGTTGGCGAACCACAAATCGAAAAACACTTAGTAGGACCAAAAAAGGGATATTGGGGAAGGTTGTTCCCCATGTTTGTGGGCATCCTAAGGATGTTAAGGAGTGGATCTAGGATGATCATTCATGGATGGATGGCCCAGTTTTTGAAAAATGGGACTATGATGTAGGTGGTGTTAGATCACCGGTATGACAAAAGTGAATGAGCATGGCTTTAGCGTAATGGGCTGATATATCAGTGATACCTTTGGGTGTTGGTTATGGGATCAGACATGTGGAGCACTTGGACCAAGTGCAAAAGTTGAGTGGTATAGATGCCATTCTCGAGGCTAACAAGCCCCAAGTCCGGAATAGGACTTAAGGAGGTTGTGAGTGAGACTCTTCCAAGTGGTCAGAGGTGTGATTAAGTGATTAAAGTAGAATAAAAAATTTAGTTGCTTACATTATCGAACAAAGAGGAATCTGATTTGCTCTAAGCCTGCGCGAAGCTCGAAAATCCATTGCCTCCCAAATTGTTCAAGGCCTTCTCGGATGCTGAGACATCACATTATTTATCTGAAAAGCGGCATGATTTTGAGAAGTGGCATTCTAATAATCCCATTAGAGCATCAAATCACAAAAAACAAGCACCAAAGTGCACATTATCACAGCAACAATGCAGGAATCCCGCGAAACAATGCAAGAAATTGCAAGGATTCTGTTCAGAAATCCATACCCTAGGTAGATTGATTGCAATCTCCAATCCAAAACCCCACTACCCATACAACGCCAAATTAACCCTTGCTCTTAAAGAGAGACATAGGGACAAGGGAAAAAGGAAGTCTGTTCGATTGGCTTGCTAGTTGGTATGAGATCTAATAGTTCTCTATGGACAAAGATTTAGCTATTTGGACCTCCACACAGCCTGCTCACTCAATCCAAGCCATTGATTCTAACGGTATTCATATGTTGATTAAACCTTTGGTTTGATAGTCTGTGATTGTAGCTTAAATTGGCTTCTTTGAAAATTTGGTGCCAAGAACATCCAAGTAGTTATTGACAAATCCAAATCTAGCATGTTGGGTTTTTGTGAGAATCTTCTATAGCACATAAAGATATTCTTGAAGGAGCATATTCTGCTTCATTGTAAGAATATTCTAGAATTCTGAGAAACACAAATCAATCTAGGCTGTTGGTTGATCTAGCTAGCAAAGTGTTCCAATGTTTGTGGCAAAGGCTCCTCTTTTCTCGAAGAAAGCACTACTACACATGTCATATGTAAAGTGTTGACCAACATTGACACTCAACCTTTTGCAATGGAGACCAAGGTTTAGTGGAGAGTGTTTACTATGACAGTAGGCTTGACTATTGGTGCCTTTAGATTGTGATTCAAATTTATATTTGAATCTCTTTCCCTCAAATTAGGGTTTTGTGAGTTATGGCACATGCTCTTGCCAATCCCTAGCAATGACACCTCACATTCATCCCAAATGTACAAATCCCTGCATGGCACCTTTCTTTTCTCGCTGCTGGTTTGCTGCCTGTTTTGGGAATTGAGATGAGTTGTGATGCCATTGGAGCTGCTGTTGTAAGTGGATTTTCTTGTAGTGAGATTGTATTTTCTCAAACTTCATATCCAGTCACTAGCGGTGGTGTGATGCCTCTAGCAACATGTCTAAACCACAAAAAAACAATTGAAAAAGTAAGCTATTCTCTTTTCAATGGAAGTTTTGAGAATTATTTTATGTTCTTTAGGTGGCAGCACAAGTTCTAGAGAATGCAAAAGTGAAGGAGTCAAAATTTGTAGTAGTAGTTATAACAATTAGTCCTAGCTTGAGTTTATACTTGGATGGTAATGTTCTTTGTGATTTTTCTTGGGCTTATTGTTATGCCTAGTGCTGGGAAGATTATGTTGGGCATCATATTGAAAAATTGCTTGGCATGTAGTTTCTCAGCCACTAACACTAGAGGAGGGGCATTCATGGCTCATATGCTTCTCATTCTGGCAGATCCACATGGTCATCAATATGGTAAATTTTTTACTTTCTTTACCATGTGAATTTAAGGGTGTAGAGATTGGGACACTAGGTGTTGATTGCTGGCCAGACTCTGATAATAAGTTCTATCTCTTGCTAATTATGCTACCATGGTAATGGAGTGTGGTATCAAAAGATTTTAAGTTATCCAGGTGGCAATACATAATGCTCTTGCTAATTTAACCAATGACAAGTTGTACCATGAGGTAATAGATTATGTATGTCTTTGGTGGCATCACTAGATCAAAATCCAAAACTGGTAGAGATTTATTTTGATTAATGGGTTACCCTAAGAGAGTGAATATTCTATTATGTGAATAACTTTATTTTTAATTCTTTATGAATAAAATAATCAAATTTACCTAAAATTATTTTGTTTTATAAAGTATTAGAATATTTGAATATTTTAGGTCAAAATTAACTTTTATAATTTAATTTAACAGTATTTACAAATATAATAAGAAAATTATATTCTGTACAAATGGTTTATCTAAATATTACTAAAACATATAGAACCTAATACTAGGTGATGGTATATCAGATGTGGGTTGACTTAATTTTATGAATGTGTAAGACTATAATCAAATCTTCAACTGTTAATACAAAAAAATTAAACAACTTTAACAATAAGAGTATGTATTATATTTTTATATATAGCCTTAGCTATTTATAATCTAACTCATTATAAAAAAACTAAGATTATGTATGTAATATTTGATTAGTCAGTAATATTTCGAAATCTTTTTCCTAACTATAAATATAATTTATTGTGTATAATACTATGGAATATAATATTTGAATTTATAGTTTCTGTAACATATATATATAACAATAATTATTTTCTTGACTGTATTTGGGTTGTAATATATTAATTTTCTTAAAAACTTATTGTTCTATATTCTAATTAAAATACATAATTAAGTAATGTCTTGCAGTAATTATTCTCTTTTATTTGATAAAATCTTAATATAAGTTTATCCTAAGTAAAAATATAATTTACATATACCATATTATTAATAATATAAAATTCATTTTTACTTTTCTCTGGGTTAGGTATGTTTCTAAATATATTCATATTTCCAAATAATAATTTGTATCTAATATTTTTATTAATGAATATTTAAAAATATATTTTGTTCTAAATATTTATATTATCAAGTTTACAAGAATTAGATTTTGTATTCATCTAGCATTTTTTAGCATAATTCCCTAAATTCTTCTTTCAAAGTGAAATACAATATTTGTTGTTTTGATACTATTCCAATTTTAATCATACTCCCTTATTTAAACGTGCTATTGGCATATGGCATCCGGCGTCTTTTATTCCATTTTTAGAATATTATTTCTGAATATACTTATAATCTAACGGTTCAAATTCAAAAACTTGAAATAAATGGCATAGATCAAGTGCCAAAGGGGTGGCAACGCTTCAATGTGATTTTAATGACGCTCCAAATCAAGTGAAATTTTTTAGGGCGATCGGGCAGATTGGGGCAAACATGGGGCGAGAGGAGCATCGCTGCAAAAAGAGCATGGATGCTGCCATCCTCGAGGACCGGGCCTTCATCCAGAACGAGGCCAAGGAGAAAATGGGAGGAGTAAACAGGTGGCGTTCCTGTGTCACAGACATCGAGTCCCACGAGTGACTCTGGTTTCGGCTGGATGTGTTTGTGTCGAATCAAGAGCAGGTGATGGAGCGGCCACTGCTCAATCTCATGATGAAGTACGCCTACACCACGACTTGGCTGCGGGACGCTCCTGCCATGCTATAAGTTGGTACATGGAAGGTAAACTTCACTGGATTCCACTTCAGCCTCCATTGTTTGTTCTTGTAGATGGGGAAGATCTCCAAGAATTGGCTGCAATGTCTTCAAATTCCAGTGCCCTGGATTGAGTTGGCCATTGCGTACTATTCTGCTGTCAAAAGGATCATCCTATAGAGGCGAGAACTGGCTGGTTCATAAATTTTGTGATTTACAACTGTTTTACAGTTTTGGAGCCAATTGAAATATCCAGTGTTTTTAATGAGAGCTGATGCATCCCCAAACGGAGATTGTAAGGTGTTGCTGTTTTCCTGGATGGAAACTCTTCCGTCGTAGCATCCAGTTGGGACTTGGTAATACTTTTCTCTCCATCTTAGAACTTGATAAAAGATGCTAAACTTACCATGACGGTTGAATCTCTGGCAGCTATGGCAAGAGTGTCAGCGCAGGAGACAACACCAGGACAAAAATGAAGCTCTTGGCAGACATGAGGCTTGGAAGGGACAACTTTTACACTTTACTTCCATCAGTCGAGAAGAACCGATCCATCACAGTCCTGAAGAACAGCAAAGTTAGAAGACAAGAATTTAAATCTTGCAAAGCTACTCCTGTCGATGAAACAGTCGTGGAAGTGCAAGCGAAGAACTCCTGCTGGTATCGTCCTGTCCCAATCGGTGTGCTTGCTCAGAGTGTCCCTGATGATTCTCTTGGCTTGAGGACAGGATCTCGAGTAACTGTGGTAGCCATTCTTGTATCCTCCACTCTCATCATGATCCAAAACACTAGCTCAGAGACAGCAGAAGCAAAACCAAAATGTTCCCTCTCCAACTTCCCATCCTCAGGTATTGCAGCTTGGCATGTCTTCTTCCTCCTCGAATTTTCTTGGCAGTAATCGATGATCTGAAGATGAGAGTCGTTCCGTGATGAAGTGGGTCACTGATACAAGGCTCTTATAGTCCAGGTTAAGCCGTCACAAACCGTGTCTGCTGCCTCTAATGAGTGTTTCCATGCTTAAGAAATCCTTTGACATCATCCAAATCCAGGGAAGCTAGCGCTCATAGTTTGACAAAGTTGAACCTCTGCACAAGAAATAGGAAAATTCAGCCAACTAAAGAAAGGTTCTGAAAGGACATATGTCTGTAGGCCGCATTTTCTATTCCATTTCCAAGCTTTCACTTTGTTCTGTTTCTTAAGATTTTTGCTTTTTCTTCTTCTTCACGATGTTCTGCCCTTCTTTTTCTTCTTGTTTTCCTTCTTTTGGTATATGACGCTCAATGGTCAATGCTAAAAGTATAATGGGTAACGAGATATGGGTCCGACAAGCTTGCCAAGCTTCAAATCTTCATTGTCGTCCATTACTTCTTTGCTGGCTATAGGTGAATATTTATTATTAGTGCTATTATTACTTTATCTGGTGTTTGTAGGAGGACTGCCTTGGATCCCAACAGCACAGTTTCTTGCCACAACAGAGGCCATGAGTTTTCAAATCTGTAAGAGTTTAAAAAGTTTTGTAATTATAAAAGAAAAAAGTACTATACTGAACTGTACCTTGATCTTAGTGAATCAAAATAGCTTTTTCTCCTGGCTATGGAATGGGCACTTATTTTTGTTCTCTACCTACCCGCTTTATTCCTATCTTGCAGTACTATTATAGCAGAGACTCCAGCTCTGCTGGAATATAAATTGATACCAGAGCATTGATGAGCATCCTGCAGCTCAGCCAGAACTTTTTTTTTTGTCAAGGATATTTCACCTTATGATATGTTTGACTTTGCAGGTTGAGCTTGATTCCGAAGGAGCACATATGTACAATGCTGCTGTTGCTCTTCGCGACACTATGATCGAGCTTGAGGTCGCAATAGAAGGTGGAAAGGACAGCTTGTCAATGGCTGCTCAAGCAGGTGGTGAAACTGTCAAGGCACCTGGGAATCTCGTCATTAGTACACCAAACAGTTCTCTTTTCTCGTGAGCTTACATTCTTCCTTTTTTCTTCCAAAAGGTACTCCGACACTAGAGCATACCGTCAATCCAAGCTCGCAAACATCTTCCACGCCAAAGAACTGGCAATGAGATTCAAGGTATTCGTCTAATGCTTTGAAATCTCTCCCGCCTTTCTCTTTCGTCAATGCTTTCTCTTTCACTGATTAAGCCGAAGGAGTTGACATCACAGCCAACGCTGTTCATCCAGGGTTTATAATGACACCTTTGATGCGGTACACATTCTACATAATGAGTTTGTCTCTTTGCCTTGTCATTGTTTTTGGTTACTTATGGAACTTTGATCTTCATGCAGGGGTTCTCAAGTTCTTCTCCAGCTTCCTTTGGAAAAATGTGCCATAGGTAAGAAGAATTCTCCCAATAATCTGGAAGTTTTTTGTGACTAATATGTGATCGATCTCTCAGGGCGCTGCTACAACGTGATACGTGGCTTTACATCCAAGCCTCAAGGACGTCACTGGGCAATACTTCGTGGATTCCAACAAATCCAACTGTAGCGCTTATGGCAGAGATCCCGAGCTCGCTCACAAGCTATGGACCTTCTCCCAGGAGTTTATAGACAAGCATTCTCCATCCTAAAGGTAAAAGGTTGATGGTGCTAGAGAGTGAGCGAGCAAACGAGGACAACTCGGCAATGATTTGTGGATAGACTGTATTTACTCTTCTCGAAAGCTCGAGCTCGAGCTTGATCAAAAGTAAGACGCGTTGCCTACATTGCACATGACTAAAACTTTGGTTTCGAGCATGTTGTCCATCGCGTACTTGACACCCTCTCGTTGGATTCCAGAGTCTTTGATCCCACCATATGGCTGGCTATCAACGCACATGCTTGGCGAATCGTTGAGGCAAACTCCTCCAGCCTGTGAGGATCAAATAATTATCAAACAGTTGATCAATACTTTCTATATCTCAAATGCAAAGCTACCTCTATATGCTGAAATGCATAGAAGGCCTTGTTTAGATCACACGTAAAGACGCCGGCTTGGAGACTGTGATGCGTGTTGTTAGCTTCCATCACGGCTTCCTTGAAATCACTGCGTCACCACCGTTTAAGTTTAGAGAAAAACAAAGGAAGTAAAGAAGAACTTCAGTGGCTAAGAAACTTTGAGAGCTGACTTGTATGAGTAGAGAAGGATCACAGGACCGAAAATCTCTTCCTTCCTTCTGTCCGTGTCAAAGGGAGCATCTTCCAGGATCATTGGCTCCATGAAAGCTCCCTTTGCTTACCACCAATAAAAAATTTAGTGCCTGCCTTCACTGCACCGTTCACGCTCTTCTCCACTATAGCATCTTGTGACTCGGATATCATGGGCCCAATGTACGTGTCATCTTTGTAGTCTCCACCTTTGAGTTATTTAACAGCAGCGATCAATGCATCGTTCATCTTCACAACCAGCACCAAATACGTTAGATCAAAGCTGCATTTGTGATAAATAAATATAATAGAATTTAAAGACAAGTTTAAAACAATAATAATTTTATAAGCTATATTAATATGTGATCATGTTCACCTTTATATAATTGCTTATTAGTGAGTAGTGTTGAATAAGTAAATAGTAATTTATTTTTTATTGGAGTCCATAGCTTTATCATAAAGCATTATTACAGTTTTTTGTTAAGATGAACATTATATCTACTTTAAGTATATTTTTAAATGTAAAAACAAATATATAATAGAAATTTTATTATTCTTTAGTAAACTATGCAATTTAGAGGCAATATTACAGTTAAGTAAAAATTAATGTTAAAGGTATTATTACAGTTCAGATAAAAACACTTTAGCTCAATATGCAATCAAAATTATAATTTCCCAAAATTAACCTATTATGTTTTGTTAGTATACATTTTTTTTTAATGAGCATTTAATTTATTTTAAATCATGGCAGCAATCTTGTAAATGTGTTAAGGTTTTTGTACTTTTTTATAAAGGCAATAGAAGAATTCAATTTCGAATTTAGTGATGATTAAAATATGATCTTATCTTCCCAAACATTTGCATCATTATCTAATTGCATTATTTTCCATTTCTCTGGAGATGAATAGTTGCAAAATTAAGATAAATTTAACCTTGCATACAATCAAAAATTTTAACATTGAACAATTAAAAATGAAGATCTATTTATCTTGGGTATGATATATCTCCCTGAAAATATTTCAGCATACTCATTGTTCTATAGAACAAAACCTTTACAGAACAAAGAGTATTTTATTGATTCAATACTATATTATTAAAATTAAACATAATTTTGTTGTGCAAAGATGGGTATATAGTAGATACAATAGAAAATACAGTACAAGACTAGA